GTCAAATCGTTTCTATCTCAGAACTTTGAGATGAAAGACCTTGGTGTGGCTGATGTTATCTTGAACATCAAGCTACTAAGAGATAATGAGGGTGGGATCACACTTCTGCAATCCCACTATGTTGAGAAGGTGTTGAGTCGTTTTGGATATTCGGACTGCACACCATCTCAAACACCATATGATCCTAGCATGTTGATTCAAAAGTCCAAAGGCATGGCTAAAGATCAATTGAGATACTCTCAAATCATTGGTTCACTGATGTACCTAGCGAGCGCAACGAGGCCTGACATCGCGTTTGCTGTGAGCAAACTGAGCCGGTTTGTTTCCAAACCGGGTGATGTACATTGGCATGTTGTTGAGAGAGTTATGCGCTATCTGAAAGGTACTATGAACTATGGACTTCACTATACCGGATACCCGTCGGTACTTGAAGGGTATAGTGATGCGAATTGGATCTCTGATGCTGATGAGATGAAGGCCACAACTGGGTATATGTTTACTCTTGGAGGTGGCGCTGTTTCCTGGAAGTCTTGCAAGCAAATGATCTTAACGAGATCGACAATGGAAGCAGAATTAACGGCATTAGACACATCTGGTGTTGAAGCGAGATGGCTTCGAGATCTTTTGATGGACTTGCCATTGGTTGATAAATCGGTTCCGGCTATCCTTATGAACTGTGACAATCAGACTGTCATCACCAAGGTGAAGAGTTCAAAGGACAACATGAAGTCCACCAAACACATAAGAATGAGATTAAAAGCTGTCAGAAAATTAAGAAACTCCGGAGTGATAGCGTTGGACTATGTCCATACGGCTAAGAATCTGGCAGATCCCTTTACGAAAGGGCTATCACGTGTTGTGATAGATAATGCATCGAGGGAGATGGGTATGAGACCCACATGAGTTGCCATGGTAGTAACCCAATCTATGTGATCGGAGATCCCGTGAATTAGGACCTGGGAAAACAAGCCAGTGGTGAACTGAGGAGAGTAACTATACTAACCCACTCCATTGGAGATGTGATACTCTCGATACTGTATGGTAAGATGACTACTGTCTTAATGTGTTCTGAAGCTTATATAAGCAAGATGCTATCCTACAGAGCGATCTTTGGAGGAATACACCTATATGAGCCCGACTGCTGATCACAGTTTATTAGATTGGGGTGATCTCTAGTAAGCTCATGAATAGGCCAGGAGTGTGACTTATATGCTCCATCCGAGGGGTCAGCCTTCGGCAGCCCAGTACTAGTGAGACATGTGGTGAGACTTCTTTACGCCAAACTAACAATTCAAGGTATAGTCCATTGTTCAGTTGTGAAGGTGTGTAGCTACTTGCTCTAGGTGAAGTTCAGCCTTAACAGGTCTTCACTGAAACACGGGTATATCGAAACAGTAATTGGAACAGAGGACACAATGGGCCCTCGAGATCTGGTGGGGGATTGCTGAAATTTGAGATGGGCTCTAGGCCCATATAGCAATTTCTGAAAAATCTCTAAGGGCCCATGTGGGTTATATGGCACTAGGTGTAGTGGGAAATTTAGTCCCACCCCGGAAGTGGAAGAGGAGTTGGACCTCCTTATAAGGGTTTCTCTTCTACATGCTATTGGAGCTTGAGAAGAGAAGAGGCCCTTGCGCACTCCTCCTCCGCCGCCCGCCTCGCCACGCCACGCCTCGTCACGACGCGCCGCGGGTTGCGGGATTGAGCCGAGCCGAGCTCACACCTGACTCGGACGTGGGTCGAGCCCACGTCTCTCCACGCGGTTGCGCCTATATAAGTGTCCGGTGTCTCCTAACCCTAGCCGCCACGAACAGATCACATATGCTTCACATGCACGCCCACCGTCGTTCCTTTGCTGCTGCTGCCGCCGGTGACTCCATCCCGTCCGCCGCGTACACGGTCGACGGGAGAGCAGGTCTCTGAAACCACGCCCTTCTGGTTCCTGTATGGGGTGAGGGGCGAATAGGTTTTTGGGCAGCAATTACGCGACTGCTCACTTCCGATCGTCTACTTCATGTGCGTCTGCGTCGCCTTCATCATCACCATGTCCACCGACGCCGAACGTGCCACCGCCGAGAAAGCTGAAGCTGACAAGAAGGCCGTCGAGGACGCCGCTGCTGCCACCAAAGTCGCGGCCTCTGCATGGCCTACTGGAGGGTATAATTCGTTTATCCCGCTCCTATTGTTTTCTGTTTTAGCCATGCTAGCATTATACGTAGATCTTTCTGCAATTAGCGTAGTATGTGCTAGTTTGACTGAATATCAGTATGCATTTATTTGCATCAATGCCATGCTAGTGATTTACTCGTGGATTAATTTAATTAAGAAATTGCCTATTTACTCAACATTATGGTTGGATGGTTAGAGGACCAGTGGTATTTTCAGTCCATCAGGGTTTGAGTCCTGATGCTTGTAATATTTCTGAATTTATTTCAGCATTTTCGGCAATGTGCTTTTAGTGAGAGGAGACGTTCCCGTTGATGATGAGGCGTCTACGATGACTTCGTAAATCTCAAGATGATATACCGGCTCAGTCTGTCGTAGATGCTCACTATGAAGATAGTAACTTAGACTAGTGTCATATGCATGACACTAGTATAAGGCTAGTCATAGTGGGGAGTAACTTAGACTAGTGTCATGCATATGATACTAGTCTTTGTTACGACCTTCATAGTGCAAAATAACATATAAGTAGTATCATAGATGATAGCATTTATTACATTATAGACTCATTTTGCTTTGGCTTGCGTTATGTTACAGTACTTCAAACACCTCTCTCTTCATTAACTCTATGCCACATAAGCAAACTTGTCTTGAAATGCGCTATATTACTTGTTAAGTTACTCCCTCTATGGCGAGCCTAAGTTACTCCCCATTATGACCAACCTAAAAAAAACAGGGCCGCCTAGCGCCTTTCCCATGCCTTCTCGTGACTTGTCACTTCAATCAAGCACCTTTTGACCAGCGCCGCCTCGCCATTACTCCCCGCGACCCCCGAATCAAAGCCAAGAGGCACTGAGGCCGGAGCGAGCCTGCAGAGAAGCGAGGCGACGGAGGAGAGGAGCCGCCGCCGCCTCAGCAGCAGCAGCAGGAAGATGAAGGCCGTCGGCCCGAACGCCACCGTCGACCTTGAGGGCCTGGAATGCACCTTATGCTTCAGCCCCCTCCGGCCTCCGGTCTTCCAGGTCACCTCTTCACACCCCTTTCTTACAAGATTCTCCCTTCCCCGAGCGAACTGCTATCAATCGATTAAACTACCTCGTTTGATCCGCCGTTGCGTAGCGTCGGGATATCAATGCCATGCCCGGACGGTAAGCGATTTGATGGACGGGGGAGTGATTTATGTTTTACTGTTAGGGTTTGCTCCGCCGCCGGCGGAATGCGGCGGAGGAGGACGCCGTCGCTGGGGGAGGCGTTGTCGATCTCTTTTTTTTTTCGTTGGAAAGGAACCATGTCTATCATGGTTTCAGCTATTTGGCACAGGAATCGCTAGCTGCAGGGTAGTACAATTGAAGTTGCAAGTTGGTACCAGATTTACACTTCCTAGTAGCAAGTTCAACATCACCGGGCTGCGCTCTGACAAGTTCCAGCAAGAGGACTGTGTGGCAGACTGATTCAGGATTATGTACTGCTATCCACGTTTCTCATGCTTGTATCGCAATTTTCGTTCTATACGTGGTCTTTTTTGTTCTCCTGCCCAATGTATTTTGTTCTCCTAATGCCAGCCAAGCTCTTTGATTTGAGCAACTTATCCCAACCTGCCCAATGTATTTTGTTCTCCTAATCCTGGTATTATTCGAGCTACACTAAAATCTGTAGGCCATGTATATTGTTCACTTGATCAAAAAAGGTCTTCTCAAATAGGAACAGGAGTTAAAGACTTACTCACTCCGTTCTACTATAAGATGTTTTAGATAATTTCAATGTAGACTACATACGGATTGAAATAGGTGAACAAACACATTAAAATGGGTCTAGATACATGCGTATCAGAAAAATGCTAAAACATCTTATATGTAGGAACAGTGGGAGTACATGTGTAATTTTGTATTGCTTGGCATTGCGTTGATTACTATTTCTTCTTCGATTATTGAGGATTTTTTTATTTCCAGCTCTGCAGCCTCCTCAAATTTTTTTCATTCCTAGCTTCGGATGAAGTATTCGAAAAATTCCTTCACAACCTCCTCATCACCCTGTTCTGCATTGACTCTCTGCTTCATGGACGATATTTTCTCTTTATACTTTTCACCGAGCAGTTTTGGTATAAGCACTTTGCACGGATCATTTGAAATGCCTTTCATCAGATTTTTTTTCCCCTAGCATGTATCCTTTTTAAATACAGCTCTAGTTTAACATTTCTTGTCAAAACATTCTAGTGTGAATTTGCGACCTGTACAGCGTTTCCAAGTTACCCCATGATTATAAGTTTCAGCAATTAAACTTTACTTTTCAGCATTCAGTTTCGCAAATAATCATGCTCATAAAGTATAGCACATTTTCTTTCTTATATACAGTGGGAAACTTCTGATATTCTTCATCCGCATCTTCTTTGTTCGACCTGCTATGTGGAGCTCCCGGAGAAGAACAAGTCTGGCTGCACCCGGTGCTTCGCAGTAGAGCGTATACTGCAGTCTATCCAGGTCCTTTGCCCCTATGCGGAGTATGGCTGCACAGCCAAGATGCCCTACCATGAGATGGAGGAGCATGAGATGAAGTGCATGCACGCGCCATGCTTCACTGGATCAAACGAAGGGCAGCCCATGGCCCTGCACGATGGGTTACCGTCGGACTCTTAGACTTTTGTTATCCAAAATGTATCTCGCATCAATATCAATATCAACAATCATGAGAGCAAGAAGAAGCATGATAAGAAGAGTTCCACTTGTGATAATCAGTGCTCAGCGGTAATTGTGTATCTAATGTAGAAAAATTATGATAGCTTCAATCTGGCTAGGCACCTCCTGACGCTTGTTTCTCAAATGCAGAGGTCGGTTGTGAAAATGGGTCCTTGCGGCGGTGGTGGCGGCAAACCATGGAAGATGGACATGCGTGGTGTCAACCGTATCATTAAGGTGGTTGTTCGCCACGGCGCCGCGGTCGACGCCATGTCGGTGTTGTATGAGCGGGATGGCCAGAAGGAAAAGACCAAGCTGTGGGGAGGATCTGGGGGCAAGCGCTCGGAGGTACAAGTTACGCTTGCAACAACCATCATATTTCTTCATGTGGATGGGTGTCACTTTGTGAATGACTTGATAGTGACAAATAAATTCATTTTTGGCATGTCTAGATCTGTTTGGAGCCAGGAGAGCACTTGACAAACATCAGAGGCCACTACGGCTTCTTTAACGGCTGGTTCGTGATCAGGTCGCTCACTTTTGTGAGCAACCGCCGCACTTTTGGGCCGTACCCTAACAACCCCCGTTGTACCGCCTCGGCAACGTTATCTCTGACAACATTTGTGGATGGGCCCGAGCCGAATACTAAGATAGGTACGAAATATACCAGCATCACAGTTTTTGAGCCAAGAAATGCTTCTAATTTTTTTTCAATCACGATCAAACCTACTCCCTCCGTTTCAAAATAAGTGTCTCAACTTTTTATATCTAACAGATGAGAAGAAAGAGGGAAGTTACAGAAATAAGTCGGTTACATCCTTTTCTTACTCTTAACTAATGGGAGTGTAGATATTTAGCCTGAACCCTCATCAAAGTTATAGTTTTTCTGTCTAAAAAATGTAGCTGGATCCCTTGACAAAATCCCTCTTTTTGAAGTTTAGGCTTTTCGGTGAGACCGGATGAAACCTCTCAGTGGGACCGAGCTCAGCTGGAATAGGAGGCGCACGGTGGTACAACTGGCAAAGACAGAATTGCGAAGGCCGGCAATCAGCAATGCTGAAACAGGTGACCCCAGATGCTTCGAGTGCGAGACGACAATAAATGAAGCTACGATTGTGTTGGAAATATGCCCTAGAGGCAATAATAAAATGGTTATTATTATATTTCCTTGTTCATAATAATTGTCTATTGTTCATGCTATAATTGTATTAACTAGAAACCGTAATACATATGTGAATACATAGATCGTAATATGTCCCTAGTAAGCCTCTAGTTGACTAGCTTGTTGATCAATAGATGGTCACGGTTTCCTGACCATGGACATTGGATGTTGTTGATAACGGGATCACATAATTAGGAGGATGATGTGATGGACAAGACCCAATCCTAAGCATAACACAAGATCGTGTAGTTCGTTTGCTAGAGCTTTTCTAATGTCAAGTATCATTTCCTTAGACCATGAGATTGTGCAACTCTCGGATACCGTAGGAGTGCTTTGGATGCATCAAACGTCACAACGTAACTGGGTGACTATAAAGGTATACTACAGGTATCTCTAAAAGTCTCTATTGAGTTGGCACGAATCGAGACTGGGATTTGTCACTCCATATGACGGAGAGGTATCTCTGGGCCCACTCGGCAATGCATCATCATAATGAGCTCAATGTGACTAATGAGTTAGCCACGGGATCATGCGTTGCAGAACGAGCAAAGAGACTTGCCGGTAACGAGATTGAACGAGGTATGGGGATACCGACGATCGAATCCCGGGCAAGTAACATAACGATGGACAAAGGGAATTGTATACGGGATTGATTGATTCCTCGACATCGTGGTTCATCCGATGAGATTATCGTGGAACATGTGGGAGCCAATATGGGTATTCGGATCCCGCTATTGGTTATTGGCCGGAGAGGTGTCTCGGTCATGTCTGCATGGTTTCCGAACCCGTAGGGTCTACACACTTAAGGTTCGGTGACGCTAGAGTTGTTATGGGAAATAGTATGTGGTTACCTAAGGTTGTTCGAAGTCCCGGATGAGATCCCAGACGTGACGACGAACTCCGGAGTGGTCCGGAGGTGAAGATCAATATATTAGACGAATGGTATTGGAGTCCGGAATTGTTCTGGGAGTACCGGGTGACGACCAGCGTGACCGAAAGGTGTTTCGGAGGCCCCGGCAAGCGTTGGGGGCCCTTATGGGCCAAGGGAAGGGGGCACATCAGCCCACTAAGGGGATGTACGCCCCTCTCACCCCATCTCACATAACATGGAGAGGTGGGGGCGCCTCCCTTACGGCAGCCACCCCTCCCGGCTTGGGGGGCAGGTTTCCTAGGGGTGGGGGCGCCTAAACCCATTTAGGGTTTCCCCTGTGGCCGCCGCCCCTCCCCTAGGGAACCCTAGGGCGCCTCTTCCACCCCCTTCCCCCTATATATAGTGAGGGAGAGAGAGGGCAGCCACACCATTCCCTTGGCGTAGCCCTCTCCTCCTCTAACTCCTCCTCCTCTTCCATAGTGCTTAGCGAAGCCCTGCCGGAGAACCACGAGCTCCATCGCCACCACGCCGTCGTGCTGCTGGAGTTCTCCCTCAACTTCTCCTCTCCCCTTGCTAGATCAAGAAGGAGGAGACGTCCCCGGGCTGTACGTGTGTTGAACGCGGAGGCGCCGTCCGTTCCGCGTTTGGATCGGATCTACCGCGATTTAAATCGCCGCGAGTACGACTCCATCAACCACGTTCTTGTAACGCTTTCGCTTAGCAATCTTCAAGGGTATGAAGATGCACTCCCTCTCTCTCTTGTTGCTAGCATCTCCTAGATTGATATTGGTGACACGTAGGAAAATTTTGAATTATTACTACGTTCCCCAACAGTGGCATCATGAGCTAGGTCTATGCGTAGTTCTATGCACGAGTAGAACACAAAGTAGTTGTGGGCGATGATTTGTTCAATTTGCTTACCATTACTAGTCTTATCTCGATTCGGCGGCATTGTGGGATGAAGCGGTCCGGACCGACCTTACACGTACACTTATGTGAGACAGGTTCCACCGACTGACATGCACTTGATGCATAAGGTGGCTAGCGGGTATCTGTCTCTCCCACTTTAGTCGGATCGGATTCGATGAAGAGGGTCCTTATGAAGGGTAAATATCAATTGGTATATCACCATTGTGGCTTTTGCATAGGTAAGAAACTTTCTTGCTAGAAACCCATAGCAGCCACGTAAAACATGCAACAATAATTAGAGGACGTCTAACTTGTTTTTGTAGGGTATGCTATGTGATGTGATATGGCCAAAAGGATGTGATGAATGATATATGTGATGTATGAGATTGATCATGTTCTTGTAATAGGAATCACGACTTGCATGTCGATGAGTATGACAACCGGCAGGAGCCATAGGAGTAGTCTTAATTTATTGTACGACCTGCGTGTCAATGAAAACGTCATGTAATTACTTTACTTTATTGCTAACCGTTATCCATAGTAGTAGAAGTAATAGTTGGCGAGACAACTTCATGAAGACACGATGATGGAGATCATGGTGTCATGCCGGTGATGAAGGTGATCATGTCGTGCCTTGAAGATAGAGATCAAAGGCGCAAGATGATATTGGCCATATCATGTCACTTTATGATTTGCATGTGATGTTTGTCATGTTTACATCTTATTTGCTTAGAATGACGATAGCATTAAATAAGATGATCCCTCACTAAAATTTCAAGAAAAGTGTTCCCCCTAACTGTGCACCGTTGCGAAGGTTCGTTGTTTCGAAGCACCATGTGATGATCAGGTGTGATAGATTCTAACATTCGCATACAACGGGTGTAAGCCATATTTACACATGCGAAACACTTAGGTTGACTTGATGAGCCTAGCATGTACAGACATGGTCTCGGAACACAAGAGACCGAAAGGTCGAACATGAGTTGTATAGCAGATGCGATCAACATGGAGATGTTCCCATTGATGACTAGTCCGTCTCACGTGATGATCGGACACGGCCTAGTCGATTCGGATCATGTATCACTTAGATGACTAGAGGGATGTCTATCTGAGTGGGAGTTCATTGAATAATTTGATTAGATGAACTTAATTATCATGAACATAGTCTAAATTGTCTTTGCGAATTATGTTGTAGATTAATAGCTCGCGCTTTAGCTCCATGTTTTAATACGTTCCTAGAGAAAAACTAACTTGAAAGATATTGTAAGCAATTGTGCGGACTAGGGCCGTAGTCTGAGGATTGTCCTCACTGCTACACAGAAGGTTTTTGTCCTTAATGCACCGCTCAGTGTGCCAACCCCTCTGGCGTCGTCTGTGGATGTTGTTAACATCTGGCAGACACGTTCTGATGACTACCTGATAATTTAGTGCACCATGCTTTACGGCTTAGAGTCGGGGCTCCAAAAGCATTTTGAACGCCATGGAACATATGAGATGTTCCAAGAGCCGAAATTGGTATTTCAGGCTCATGCCCGTGTTGAGAGGTTTGAGACCTCTGACAAGATCTTTGCCTACAAGATGGATGAGAATAGCTCAGCCAGTGAGCATGTGCTTAGAATGTCTGGGTACTTCAATCGCTTGAATCAAGTGGGAGTTAATCTTCCAGATAAGAGAAGTGATTGACGAAGTTCTCCAGTCACTATCACCAAGCTACTAGAGTTTCATGATGAACTATAACATGCAAGGGAAGATGATCCCGGAGTTGTTCATCGTGCTTAAGGCCGTAAAGGTAGAAATCAAGAAGGAGCGTCAAGTGTTGATGGTTAACAAGAGCACTGGTTTCAAAGAAGGGCAAGGGCAAGAAGGGAAACTTCATGAATGGCAAGCCAGTTGCCGCTCCAGTGAAGAAACCCAAGAACCCAAACCTGAGACGAAGTGCTTCTATTAGGGGAACAGTCACTGGTAGCGGAACTGCCTCAAATACTTGGTAGATAAGAAGGCTAGCAACTTCAACAAAAGTATATTTGATATGTGTGTTATTGATGTGTACCTTACTAGTACTCCTAGTAGCACATGGGTATTAGATACCAGTTCAGTTGCTAACATTGGTAACTCGAAACAAAAGCTACGGAATAAACGGAGACTAGCTAAGGGTGAGGTGACGATGTGTGTTGCAAATGTTTCCAAGGGTGATATGATCACCATCGCACGCTCCCTCTACCTTCGGGATTAGTATTGAACCCAGATAAATGTTGTTTGCATTGGTGTCTGCGTTGAGCATGAACATGATTAGATCATGTTTATTGCAATATGGTTATTCACTTAAGTCAGATAATAATGGTTATTTTGTTTGTATGGATAACACCTTCTATGGTCATGCACCCAATGTGAATGGTTTATTGAATCCCGGTCGTAGTGATACACATGTTCATAACATTGGTGCCAAAAGATGTAGAGTTGATAATGATAGTACCACTTTCTTGTGGCACTGCCGCTTAGGTCATATTGGTGTAAAGCGCATGAAGAACCTCCATGCTAATGTACCTTTGGAGTCACTTGATTTTTAATCACCTGACACATGCGAACCATGCCTCATAGGCAAGATGACTAAAACCCTGTTTTCTGGAACAATGGAACGGGCAAGTGACTTGTTGGAAATCACACATGCTGATGTGTGCGGTCCGATGAGTGTTGAGGCACGCAGTGGATATCGTTATTTTGTCACCTTCACCGATGAATTGAGTAGATATGGGTATATTTACTTAATGAAGCATAAGTCTGAAACGTTTGAAAAGTTCAAGCAATTTCAGAGTGAAGTTGAGAATCATCATAACAAGAAGATCAAGTTCCTACGATCTGATCAAGGGAGAGAGTATCTAAGTTATGAGTTTGGCAATCACTAAAGACAAGGTGGAATCATTTCATAGTTGACGCCACCTGGAACACCTTAGCGTAATGGTGTGTCCGAACGTCGTAATCGCACCCTATTGGATATGGTGCGATCTATGATGTCTCTTACCGATCTACCGCTATCATTTTGGGGTTATGCATTAGA